TCCTCAAAGTCTCAAAGAAATCATTATGTGAACCAGTACGGACTGGTAATAGCAAATAAAATTCGCCGATTAGAAGATCTTAAAACCAAGCGCGCAAGATATATAACATCTTTAAATTTCTTGAAGAGATGCAGAGACCATAATCTCATTCCTACGTGTGTCAAGACATTCGAGGAAGCGCTAAGATCTTAAATCAGGCAAGTAAAAAGTTGTTACGGACGGTGATTCAGCAGAAACGGTTCGATTTACATTTCATAAACAACACCATAGACAATTTGTCCAGTGAACTAAAGACAATTTTAACGACATTTGATTTTAATAATTGCATCGAAACTTTAAACAAACGAGAAACATCAAAATACAATGAATGCAAAAATAAACAAATAGAAAAATACCAAAAACTAACGATCAAATCAAATGCCAAACATCCAAGTCAACGCCAGAACAATAAACAACCGTTGACCATAGACACAAACTATAAACAACGCACTGTCTATAATTTGTCAAAACATACACTGGACGAACCGACAATGAAAGTATTAGCGAAGGGAATGAACTTCGCATTAACTCCGCGAAAAAATCCCGTACGAAGAAATTATCTGCAGTGTTGAGGATTGTCTGTTTAAGAATAATATCGGTAAGGAAGATTTGGAGGCCATACGTCAAGATATTTCGTCCTTGTTACGTCGTAGTTCAGTGCCGAAACCAAACCTTCCCAAAGACGAATTTACAGCGCTAAATAACTTACGGAACAGACCAGAACTCACGATTCTCCGCGCGGATAAAGGAAATGCTACGGTAGTAATGGACGCGTCGGAATATAATTTTAAAATACAACAACTTTTATCGGACGAAAGTACATATAAAAAGGTCAAAACAGGCCCTACAACTAACACGCTTAAAACAACTAGCGATTTAATAAAGAAATACTCCGAAAAATTAAATCTCGACGTGAATTCGCTAATACCATCATGTGCCAAACCACCGAGGTTGTATGGGTTACCGAAGATACACAAACCAAACGCTCCACTACGTCCCATAGTGAGCCAGATCGATTCACCAACTTATAAGCTGGCACAATACTTAGCAAAAATACTATCACCACTTAAAGGACATACCAGAGCACACACAAAGGATTCATACCATTTTGTGAGTGAGATAAAAGACCTACATCTCGCTAACAATGAAACTATGGTCAGTTTTGATGTTCAGTCACTATTTACATGCCTACCTATTGTGGACTGCATCTCAATTGTAACTAGGAAGCTAGAAGAAAATAACATGCCTCAAGAATATGCAATACTACTTGAACATTGCCTCACATCTGGCTATCTATTGTGGAAGGAGGAGTTCTACAAGCAAGTAGATGGTGTGGCGATGGGCTCACCTGTGTCTCCCATAGTCGCCGACATATTCATGGAGGACTTTGAGGAGAAAGCCCTTCTTACTGCTCCTGTAAATCCAAGGTTCTACAAGCGGTACGTAGACGACACTTTCACAATTTTACCATCTGACAAAGTAACTGCATTTTTAGACCACCTTAACTCCATAAACTCTAAAATACAATTCACAATGGAGTTAGAGGCAAATAATTCTTTAGCTTTCCTAGATGTTTTAGTCATCCGAAATTCTGATAACACTATTGGTCACACTGTGTATAGGAAAAAGACCCATACCAACCGATATTTAAATGGTGAATCTCACCATCATCCTTCACAGTTAGCTACCGTGGGTAAATCTTTGTTTCAGAGAGCACGAGGGATCTGTGACAGAAAACATCTGGCCGCGGAGCTTCAGCACGTCAAGCAAGTATTGCAAGACAACAAGCTTCGGGTCCCGCGCCTACGTCACAGTGAACGAGTGAAGCCGGCCACAGTCGAGCGCGCGCCTGCTCTACTACCATATGTTAGAGGAGTCACGGACAAGATTGGCTACATCTTGAAGCGAGCGTCCATTAAGACATACTACAAGCCGCTGAAGAAGATTAGTCAATTTTTACCATCCATCAAATGTAATATTCCTCTACAAGATGCAGGTGTGTACAAGCTAGATTGTGAATGTGGTCTCTCTTACATAGGTCAAACAAAGAGATCTATAAAAACCCGCGTGAAGGAACATATAGCTGATGTGAAGCACCGACGCTCCGGGAAGTCTGCAGTCTGCGAACATGTTCAAGATCGTCCCCACCATTACATTAGATTTGATAAACCACAAATTCTCGCAAAAGAACACCGATTCCTACCAAGGATGATACGCGAGGCTATTGAAATTAAAAAACATCCAAATTTCAATAGAGAAGATGGTTGGGTGCTACCATCTGCTTGGGATCCTATAATTAACAAAATTAAACCCAAACCCAAGCATACCACTGCAAGACTTCATGATACTATAAGCTCGTTTTGCGTAAATCGGACCAAAAATTAATATTAAAACACTGAAGGTAGCCGGACTAACTATGACATTGGGACGTCAAACATCTCAGTCCCCCCCCCCCGTGACCATGGGCGCTGTAAAGCACCCGAAACGTCGGGATAATAATAAAAATAAATTAAAGTAATTAAACGCGATAAAATCCGTAAATAATAGTTTTATTCAATAATTTTGTCTCTCACAAAGGACTTCACTATTTTAACAGTTACCCTTAAATTGCCAAAAAGTAATAACTACATGATTAGTTGATAACTAATTGTTGCATATTTTTTAATATAATGACATTTACTTAGTAAATTTCTGAGCGTGTATACTTAACTAATACCTGTTACGCGTTTACATTCTAAATGTATACAAATGTCAGAACATGTCGGTTCTAGTCTTGTATAATCTCTTAACTAATTTACTGAATCAGTGTTAGAAAGTATACGCAACTAGTAACATTTTAAAAACATACAGTAAAAGAACACTATGAATTCGTGCTGTCCTTTATACTTTCAATATACGCGGACGAGTGTTATCGAAAGAACAAAAAAGAAGATATTGTCTGATTGGGATCGTGATGTTGCGTTTGGCAATTTGTGTAATAAATTAATGTTAGTAAGAATTCAAGTGATGCTTCCAGTTCGTGCTAAAGAATCCGCCGATTCATTAAAATAAAATAATATTAAATATTTTAGTTATTTGCATTTTTTAAAATAGTAGATTCTATATCCAATATAACTTTTCAATATTTAACATTAATTGCTTATCTTATGGACAATTATATACTTAGGTAAATAAAATGAAAATATTTAATTTACATTGCAATATTTTTAAATAGAATAACCTTAATATAATCTAGGTTCTATAACTCCTCTAATCTAGGTTCAATAAATATCGATAAATATTGAAGCTACCCGATCACGTCGCTTCATTATTGCAGTGAAAAAAACAGCGTCCATGAATTATTATCGCAATGTTTGTCAATGGTTTCCTGTCAATAATTATGGAACTTCATAGGCGTGCTTGTGTCAAAGTAAAACAAATAGTTGGACTCAGTATAGTTCTACAAAATCGCAGTAATAATTAAAGATAATATTGCATGAAATATACAATTAATTAAAATATAATTATTATACATACTATTATTATTATTTCAACTAAATCAGACGCTATTCTTAATTAGAACCATTGCATTGCATATTAAAAATAATATTATTAATATTGACCCAATTTTATCAAAAGACGTATAATTTAATGTAAATAAAAGGAACATTTCACAGCCATTTGTATTTTAAAAGTAATATAATATTATTTACAGGTATATGAATTTTTATTAAGATATTTTATGTAAGCGAAGTTATCAAAGTGTGATAATATAGTAATTAATCATTTCGAAGACATTATCTTCGAAATGATTAATTACTAAATACAAAGATCATGTTTAGTCCGTATTTCTTTATAGAGACTATTTCCTTAATTAGATTCTTTACAACAGTTGTCATCTCAGTTTACTAGTGCCAGGCTAACAGAAGTTCACTGCTGAATAAAAAGTAAAGTGGTGAAATTATTGTGTACATAAAATATCTCCAATAAAATATTCTGACATAAATTAGATCTTAAAAAGAAATAAGTAAACAAGTCATGAGCAAAAGGAATATGAGTCGTTAAAATAAATAAACCAGAAGTTTACTCTTCAACAAAATTTAAATATCTGTTAAAGGTTGTCTGGAAGAAATCGCTTTTAGCGATAAGAACGCCCATTGTGACACTATTTTTTTTCTTCTTCTTTCGTTTATGTATTGATTTGGTTTACAATAAAGAATTATCTATCTACCTATCTATCTGTATAGATGTCCATTAATATACTGTTATAGCCTTTTAATGTCCACTGTTAAACTCAGGCTTCCCCCATAGATTATCTCACAAGGGGGATATTTGCCACGGTTCCCACGCTTGGGTTGGCAGACATAGTTTTTATATTTAGTCAGTATTAGGAAGACGCTGCTGCCCATCTTGCTTAAAGGTTTGATTTAAAGTATTGAGATAATATGTGTAGGTACTATTATACGTTAGTACATGCTTGTTTTAAACTTTCAAGATTCAAACAAAGACTTCGGAAATCAAAATATAATATTCCTCATGCTCATAACACACAATATATACACAGCATAATATAGAACAATAACTATTTACATTTCAGCTTTACACAATTCATGTTAAAACTATGACTTAACTTAAAACAGCACATGTCAGCAAAAACTCGTAGACATACCACCGTCGATGTTGCTCCAAGTCGTACATTATTTTTCACCTCGCAATACTTACCACACAAGGACGGATGTAAAACACCAATAAAACATATTAAGTAAAAAATATATCAGAGCTACAATATACTTAAAATAAAATAAGTCATTGCAAGAAATAAAGTTGTAGAAACATTGAAGTCCGTATGTCTAAACAGACACTTGATACGCAAATGCAGGTTCGATCCGCACGACAATTTGTTTAGGTGAACGTATAACCGCGTACTTTTAGTTGACTTAAGACGCATGTTGACGACACTATTTAAACTGTTACAATCGTACCTGGCTCCGTAAGGCGGCTCTACACTACGACGCGGGGGTGACAACAATTCATCATATACTCCAGCGTACCTGCAAATAATAAAAATATATACTATTAATTTTCTACTTTAGAAAAAATACATAGTTAACGTGTAATTTAACACGTTAACTGCGTTACTTAACGTTATGGAGTAGTGATCGGATAATCGGATGCATATTTACCTAAAGTATAGGAGTTGGCTATTATGGAATGCACTTTACTTTTGTGTCGAAAAAATCCCGGGATTTCGGAATTGACAAATTTAGTTATTTTTTACTATAGAATTATATTGGGTGTATATTAACTTATTTTAAGGTGTTGGATAATATGGAATGCACTTATGTATCGAAAAAATCCCGGGATTTTGGAATCACCAAATTTACTGTTTTTATTATAGAATGTCAAATCGAGTGTATATTTACTTATTTTAACTTTTATATATAAAAAAACTAGAAATTATAACTTCCTCTTAATTTATTTTAATTGACACCCACTGTTTTTTTAACAAATACCACGTGCCATAGTCGACGTTTCCTCACCATGGTACAGACTATTTTCGCGTTTCCGCATCTTCTGGAATCCCTGGATTTGTATTAAAAAAAAAACATGTTTTAAGAATCCGCTTCCATAATTTCCTAGCCAAAAATGAACTTTAGGTAAATATGCATCCGATTATCCGATCACTAGTTATGAGATACTAAATGTTGAAAATATAGCCTCTACTCTGTCAACTTTTAAATTTCCTAGAACTTTTGAATAATGGTGTAGGTACATTCTCTAACAGTCAGGGAGAGGAGTGTCGGTATTGCATTGATGCCCACCGAAAAGCAGCCCACCTGAACAGCATCGTCTACTACTGCACAGGGGAGAAAAAGGAAAAAAGCTATGCGTCCCCCAATGCTGCGGTCCATTACAATTATAGTGCCGGAGGATTCCTCCGTTACCTATAATAGGCAGATACATAGACAATTCTTTATTGCACTCAAAATATTTTTTTATTAATATAGATTACATGTAGTTCTTATTGTATCATCTGTTACTTTTACCTCTGGTCCGGAAAAAAACCTGTGTCCTGAGAAAAACCAGCAAGAACCCCCATTTTTTTCAAGGTAAATTATACAACAATAAAGATTGTACAAACTATTTACAAAATTTATTTTAGAAACACCTTAGAAGCGACCATCCCTCAACAGTCAACCATGTATTAATTTATAGTAAAATAACCCTTTTTATTTATTTCATTTATTTATTTATTACACAATTATAACATCATTACAGTTATTAAACCAATATGATGCTATAACTAACCTAAATATAAGAAAACTACTGACTAATAAATAATGATATCTAGTATGAAATCTATCAAATTGATGGTAAACTAAAATACTAATTAAAAACATTAGAATTTTCAACGCATATTATAGTTTTCGTTTCATAAAATACTAACGATTCACCCCCGCTTCGCGCGGGTGATTTCTGAATTATGACAACAAAAAACCTATACAAATACTTACAAAAAATTCATCAAAATCGGTCGAGCCGTTTTTGAGTTTTAGCGAGACGAACGGACAGCAATTTAGAGTTTTATATATATATATATAGATTTAAGCTTGACAATAGATAGACCTTGTTGTCCTTTTCTGGGATTAAACTTAATACTAAATGAAGAAGTTTCAAGAGAATTTATGTTAAAATCCACGTTAGTCTCTACATATTACAAAAGACTTGTTCTGTTAACTAAGTTTGAGCTAAACTTTCTCCACAATCTATTAAAAATATTCGTAAGTTTTACATGGGGATGTGTAAACACTAACGTTAATGAGGTGCTCGAGCTCGACATAAGCCAGTACTACAGTTCGCTCAACAGAGAGGCTCACAATATCCTTACATTCTTTACATAATACTAGGGTTTGAGTCCCGGGACGTCTCGTGGCTCGAAGTCCCGGGACTTTTCATAATTTTAGTTGTCTTGAGTCCCGGGACTTTCAGGTCGCGACTCGAGACGAGACAAGATTGTCAAAATTGTTATGTAATCATTTTTATTTTCAAATAATAGAAGGAGCCTGGCGCCATATTAATTGCTTGAATTCGATGAATGAATCGATGAATTATTACTTGCTCTACTACGTAACCTACTGAGTACACAACACGATAAATGCGTTTACCGCGCGGCCATGATGCCGCTATATTGATTGTTCTGTGACGATTGAATTATTATTGTGAACTCAGTTTACTGCTGAATGTTAAAAGAAGGTGGAATTCTATCATTGTGATGGCGGAACGGTTTCTGAAGCCCAAAATTGCGTGAAGGAAGCGTTGATTGATTTAAACATGTTAGACAAGTGGAATAAGAATTTGTTGCAGCCAGTCAAGATAGCTGTCGAAGCCTTAGACCGACAAAACACTTGAACAGTACTTACAGTTGAAGCAATAACTGACATGTTGCGCAAAAAAAAATCAATCAACAAAGACTGATAATGATTTGGCGAAGCGGATCTTCGAAACGTTGTAAGCTCGCCTAGAAGAGAGAAGACCGCAACGAGCTGTATGCTTGTTAAAATATTTGAACACTAGCCACCACACAATTTTTCTGCTTGATTTTTACAATAAAAAATGCCTATTATAATACGTTTCACCAGAAATTAACTCAATTAAAATTCTTCAAAAAAGATTTAACCGTCTTCAAAAAATTTTGAATTTTGCCCGGAATTTTGATTGTTGGCTGTCTCGTGTCCCGGGATTGTGAAATTGTCGGGAATTCCCAAACCCTACATAATACCTAATTATTTTTCCCCATATCATCGCTATACCCAATTATCTATTATTTTTGTTAATATTTGAATAACTTCTTATTTTAATCTCCTTTATTACGGCACTTATTTTATTATATCAATTGTATTTTATAAAATAAATATGTTAGATTATATTTATGTACCAATAAAATAGGGTAGGATGGTGTAAGATTGCGCGGGCGATAAGATTGCGCACTAGTCATTACTCTACACCAGTGCAAAACACGCTGCCAACTTGAGTTGTGTTTTGATTGATTTAGATGCCAGCATTCGCTACCAAAAAAAATATTGAGATACGAAAGAAAACTGGAAGTCCAGGTGAGTTCAAAGTTTTTTTAGCGTCTCATAAAATTTTTGACATTTTGCAAGGATAACTGATAAAACACCTGATGGAATTACACAATGTATTACTGATCGTTTTACTTGTGTTTACTGTTGACATTTTGACTAGTGACAAAGTAGTTCCATAATTTTCTAAATGATGGCAGTAGTATCCATATGGTTGCGTTGGAGGCCAAGTGTGTAAGTTTGCGCACTTAGGGGGTGGATAATATTGCGCGCGCACACTTACACGCCACTACGTAAAGCGATATTCATTTATATGAATAAATATTGTTTTCATCAGCTTTTAACAGCCGTTCACTTTGCTGTAGAATTTTATGCTCTACCATCTAGTATGCTTGTAAACGTATTGAAAAAGGAGAAAGCAAGAGACTAGTTGCTTTGTCTTTAGGAATGGCTGATTCAACACTAAGATATCGGTTGTATATGTAGTGCTAGTTAGATATGACGCTACATTTAGTGCAGAGGTAGAAAAAGATTTCTGTGACCACTTCACAACCCTGGATGAAATGTTTTTCGGCTTGACAGCCAAAAAATTAAAGAGCGCACCTTACGAGTATGCAGAAAAGTATAAAATTCCCCATCGTTTCTATACACATATAAAAATTACGGGGAAAAAGTGTAATCGTGGATTTATTAGGCGCCACCCCGAAATTGCTCTTCAACAGCCAACTTCCACGAGCATTGCGCGTGCTATGTGGTTCAACAGGCCACATGTTAAACGGTTTTATGTGAAGATGTCGGCTAGAAGCTAGAAAAAAAAATTTAAGAAAAAAAGAAGCCTAATCCAAAAACTAACGCAAAGCGAGCTAAAAAGGAGTTTAAAAACACCAAAGACTACCAAAAAAAGAAGGTGTGGAAAATGCACTGAAGTCTTTGTAGATCCTATTGACGAAGACTGGTTCAAGTGCGATATGTGCCAGGTGTGGTGGCAAGAAAAGTGCACTGATAATTTGGATTTTGGGGAATTTTAATGTGATGTATGCAAATAATTCGCCTGAACAAACACTGCGCAATATTATCGCCACCTATGCCCAATTTTACACACCGGGGTGTGTAAGGTTGCGCATGTCTCGACTTCTGTTTTTTGGTAATTAAGTAAAAAGTGATTATTTTTGCTCAATAATTAGTACTAAGAGTTATTGCCAGATAAGTTCCGATTTCATAATAATAAAGAAACCTGTGATTAATTCGTGTATTTTATTTTATGGCCGAATTATTCGAAATTGCGCAAACTTACACCACCCTACCCTACCAAGTTTTGGTGGTGATATAACATTATCAGTAGTACAGTCCGTACGGAATGGGATTAGAAAGGAGGAAGAATGGGATTAAAAATGGCGACTCATCGAGCCCGTACCGGCAACATGTACAGTACTAATAGCGAAAACCCGTATATCGTTATAACGTTATATTATTCGGTTATTGAAATATTTCTATTAATGGTAAAATATTTGAAAAGAATTGTATACGCAATTAGGAACATTAATTTTAAAATAACATTAATAACTATCGAACCGCTCTGGCTTCGCCTGGGTGGGATCTAATTGACGACTTAAGATAATAAAAAACACCATTTATTTTATCTTATCGATATTTATATTTTAATATAAACTCAAAAAAACAACTTACTCTTAATTGTTCATGAAGTTTTATTACAATCGTTTCAGTTATTCCCAAAGTATTGTTACGAGCTTGAGGTTCGTGACAATAAAAATTGCCGATAAAATTACCTAAATTAACACTTTAATTTTCTTTACACAAATTAAAACTTAAAACACTAATAATTAATCACACTAATTCACTTTATTTCGCTCCGAAGCTTCGCTTGTCTCGCCAAATTCAATACTTCCCCGATCGCATCTTGCAGCGCCTATTTATATAAATTAGCACGGAAATATCCAGAATATTCAAGT